CATTAGGCGCTTCATTAAGCGCTTCATTCGGCGCTTCTTCATTCGTCGGCGCTTCTTCATTCGTCGGCGCTTCTTCATTTGTCAGTGCTTCATTCGACGCTTCATTCGGCGCTTCATTTGCTTCATTTGCTTCATTCGGCGCTTCATTCGGCGCTTCATTCAGCGCTTCATTCAGCGCTTCATTCGGCGCTTCATTTCTTCCTCCAGTACGTCTTTGGCGTGGTTGCCGCTGTCTTGTTCCTCCTATGCGTCTTGCTGCTTGTGTTGGTGCCATTGTTACTGTTAGTAGGTAGTCGCTGTATCGTAGTTATTGCTGCTGTACTGTACGTAGTCGGAAACTCAGATTTTAACCGGGAAGGAAAAATAATAAGCAAAGAATAAGCAATTTGCAATTTGCTTGATGAGCAGTTCGATGATGGTGTTGCAAATATTGCAATACAGTGTAAATTCAACGGATGAAAATGCACCTCGGAGGCAAAGTAACAGCAACCCCAAGAAAAGGTGCAGTACCAGTTTTGTGTCTTAATTTTGCACACAAAACAGTCATTACAGTTGCAAAAACAGTGGTACCAAGTATAGTACCGGTCGATTGGGGGGTTAGGGCCTATGTAGTACATTTGGGCGTAGCGGGCGCACCAATAATGGGAGTGCAACTTTAGTTGCATTTGAGGGATACCATAGCGGGTACCACTACTTTTGCACATGTAATGACTATTTCGTGTGCAAATTTAACACTCAAAACCGGTACTGTGTATTTTCCTGGCATTGTTATTCCTCAGCCTCTGAGGTGCATTTTCTGCATTTTCATCTGTTGAATACTACCTGAAAATGCAACAATGCAACAGAAACCCAGTCATTGGTATTGGATGCATGAAGGTGCAAACTAGTAAGAAATCTTTGATCACTATTCTGTTGCCTTCTTCTTGTCTTATCACAAAATAAAGAGGAGGATGCTGGTAATATTATGCTCGAGGCTCACTGATACGGAGGAGGACGCTTGCTGATACGGAGGCTAGCTGGTGATACACAGGATGCTGATACGGAGAACACTCACTTGTGATATGAATTGCTGATACAGAGGCTCGGTGGTACACAACAGGATGCTGACGATACAGAGGCTTGGTGATACAGAGGAGGATGGTGCTGGTGATACCAGTCACTGATACAAATTGTCCCTGACAGAGGATGATGATACTATGGAGAATGCTGATACTAGTACTGAGGCTGGCTGATATGGAGGACACTTGCTGATACAAATTTCTGATACAGAGGATGCTGATATGGAGGCTCGCTGATACAGAGGATGATGCTGATATGAGTCACTGATACAAGTCACTGATACAAGTCACTGATACAAATCGCTNGCTCGCTGATACAGAGGATGATGCTGATATGAGTCACTGATACAAGTCACTGATACAAGTCACTGATACAAATCGCTGATATGGAGGATGCTGATGCAAATTGCTGATACAGAGGCTCAGCGATACGGAGAATGCTGATAGTACAAATTGCTGATATGGAGGATACTGATACAAATTGCTGATACAAATTGCTGATATGGAGGATACTGATACAAATTGCTGATACAAATTGCTGATACGGAGGCTTGGTGATACGGAGGATGCTGATAGTACAAATCCCTGATACAGAGGATCCTGATACAAATTGCTGATACGGAGGATGCTGATACAGAGGATGGTGCTGATATGGTGTCCGTTGGTGATATGAGTTGGTGCTTTGGTATCTAGGTGCTAACCAGTACTTGTCCTCCCCCTCTAAGATCTTAGATAACTGTTATGATCTTATGTTCCTGGTGTTGTCAAGAATTACCTTCATTAAATGTCTGTTTACTATGGGAATTGCCTTTTGCTTGATAATGCAAGTGATTCTGCTCAACCAACTTAGTGTATTTTTTGCTCTAACTGCATGGTATGCCGGCAGTAGGAATCACTACAATGTACACGCACATAGACTTGTACATGATTTCCTACTGTTGCAAAATTAGTTGCATTCTTGATTGGTACCTGCATGGTACGGTAAGTACTGAGAGCTTTTACATACAGTACATACAGTGCGGTATGAAATGAATTTTAATTAACTTTGTTCTGTACTTTGTATGGTACGTACATTCCATACTTGGGTAACTACAACCAGTTACATAGTTGCAGGTTGCACCAGAACAATTGAAATCCTACTTTATGTACTGTACACAGGGCATTTGGAAGGTTAGTACTAGTAGAATTATTGTTCTAAATGGGCCATTCCTGTTATTATTAGAAATTCTAAATGTGCTAGACTAGCATGTTTAGCTATGCTAATCATAGTAACAGCAGCACCACCAGGAGGAATCAAAATTTCACCAAGGGAAAGACTACAAGGAATAATTCTGGGTTGATCCCATGTTTTTCTTGGGAATCTGGAATCTTAACTATCATACTTCAATATAAGGACTAAAACAGGGTGTGTGCACCTCTTCTTGTTCTTTGGTTTAAAAAATGAAATTTTGAATGTACAAAATTATATGCTAGTACTGCAAGAAAAAGAATATTCCAGCAGTTAGTACTAGTAAAAGAAGGAACACATCAATTTCAGATACTTGCAGCAGCAATATCAAACATTTAGTATGTGTTTCTTGCACTATTTGACCAGAGTTTCCTCCTAGCAAGAAGGAAGGCCACAATGTAATGATAGAGACCATTAAGGATATACACAAAAACCCAKGGTATACCTGAAGACTGATAATTCTAGCTAACACAGTCTAACTCAGGAGGGGGGATAAAAGTACTTCTCAGTCTGGTTTCATTCTTCATCTTATTTTGCTATTGCTGAATCTAGCTAAAAAGCTAGTTTCATCCTCTTCACCATGGAGTTCTGACCCAGTATGTTATTGTTTGTGTGCTAGCTATTGATGATGATGATGATGATGATGATGATGATGATGATGATTATGATTATGATTATGATGATGATGTTCATGTTCATGTTCATGTTCATGATGTTGTTCATGATGTTGTTCATGATGTTGTTCATGATGTTGTTCATGATGTTGTTCATGATGTTGTTCATGATGTTGTTCATGATG